GAACAATAAGTAAAAAAGTAGTACAAATAAAAAAAGTCAGTTGCAAAGAAATAGAGTACTGCTTAAAGTAGGAAAACAGACAAACTGACATACTAATAAAATTGTTATATAAGTTGATAACAAATGCAAGATTAGGAGCAGAATAAAGAGAAACAAATGCAATTAGAAAGTTAGAACCAAGAACAGATGTTATGATTTATAACTAGATGCAATTGTGAAAAAGGCTAAAAAGAACTAAAGAAGTACATTGCATAACAAGAAGAAGTAGCACAAGAAGATGTGCATTCATAAAGTATATAATAGATAAACTTCTGACCTTAGAAGAACTTAATAGAAGAAAGTCAGATATATATACAACAACAGAGTGCCAAGTATGTCAAGACAAAGTTAAAGAAATACAATCATATTTAGTATTATGCAAAGAACAACAAAGCCTCTAAAAATGAATTCAAAAAGTATTGATTGCAACAGCCTGAAAAGGATTGAAAAATGAGAAAAAAACACATCCCTTCATATATGCTATATACAGCACTCTTCAGAAAGATAAAAACAGAAAAAATAGAAATGAGAGAAGCTTTAATCAAAAGCCTAATTCTAAAAAAGATGTAAAACAGACTAATATAGCTTCTAAGTATAAAGGTAAGACAGCATTTTATAGAGACAGTAGCAAAAACAGCATGTGACATATTTTATAAATAAGTTTGGAGGATATGATGTAAAAAGATCAATGAATAGGAGAAGAAAGAAGACATAACAGTCAAAATAAAAAAGAAAGAAGTAAAAAAGAAAAATTTGAAAAAGAAAGAAAAGGTGAATTAGCAAAAAATCAAAGAAGAAAAAGAAGAGCAAAAGAAAAAAAGAATAGAATTAATGAAGAAAATAGAAAAACAATGTTGGAACTTGTTATGAAAGAGAGAAGACCCTTTTATTATAGACTTTAAGTAGTCAGACAAGTAGCCTACTTCTGTTTGAAGTAGTGTAACAAGTTGCACTTAGGTACCCTTTGAGTGGCTTGGTGATGCTAAACTTAGTTGTTAGGTAAATCTATGTAATTGCAAAAGTAATTTCAAAAGTCTTAATAAAGAACTAGCATGATTGCTTAAGGGGAAAAAAAAAATTTAAATTAGAATCTTGAAAATTAAAATGTTTTTCAATATTTTATTGTGTTTTATTAGAGTTATTTTTATTATATTTATATATTTTTTATTTCAAATACTTACTAACAGCTATTTTTAGTTTTTTTTGCAATATATAAATTATTAGACATTTTGTATATATCTAAATAATGTAAAAGAACCAATAATAATCAGATAATAATTATTTTAAAAAGAGAAATTACTAGTTTTAACTAAGAAACAAATAAAGAACTAAAATTAATATAAAATAAGAAAACAAAAACCTTTATGAATAATGCAATAGATAAACTAATCTAAAGTTTATAAAATTAATAGTTTCTTACTTTATTAAACAGTTATTTTTTATACTTAAAAGTACAATGATATTATCTAATATAATAATTTTTGGAGTAGCAAAACTGAAATTGATAACTTTAAACATCATAATTGAACTTTATGCAAATTATTTTCAAAAGTTAAAAATAATAATAATTGAATTTATATATATTTGTTATGTTGCTTGCTTATTAAACAAAAAACATGCTACAATTAGATATACTTTTTTTTAGCCTGTATATAAATAACAAAAATGAAAATTAACAATAATTTATATATTATATATTATTTTTTAATTTTTTTTATTAACTAATATTTTTTTAAGCAGGTTTGTTCTTTTTTTGAAATTAATCATACATAATACGTATTACAAAATAAATAATTTATATATGATCAGTTTAATATTTAATTATAATAATCTAAATATAATCTGTTGTAGTAATTATTGTTAAGAATTACAATGAAATCGGATTAAAATGAAATGAGAGATTTCTATTTGACCTTCTAAAATCCACTTATACTTGTTTATTATAAACTCTACCTCTAAACACTAATCCTAACACTAACCCTAAAAAAATACTAAAAAAAAGCACTTCAAAAATTTGCGTTTTTCGGTGGCTTGTCCATTTGACATTATCACTGTATACGTATACGTAAAATAATTAAATCTTATGTGATTATAATAATACCACAGTATTATTTGATTGCAACCCAACTACTTGTATTTAGGAAGGTATTTTGTTATATATATTTTTTATACGTATTACATAATCCAATTAGTTAATTTTGCCACTAATAATAGTGAACGTAGGCACATTTTTTTATGTACAAAATATTTAAACCATATATCTGATATATAAAAATACATATATGTATATTTTTTATCGCGATATACATATGCACGCACATCCAATATTATTTACTAAGCTTGGGAGTACTTTTCTTCACAGATTATATTGATTGGAACCAACAAAAATCATAGAAAAGTTAAAAGTTAGCCAAAATTAGTTCGTACACGTATCGTTCGTATGTACACGTATCTTAAAAGATTTTTTTTACTAAACACATTTTAATAAGAGTTGTCATTTTAATAAGAGTTGTTACTATAAATGTAAACTTGTTTACATCGTATTAATTCTATATGAATGATTATTTATATATATTTATCTGTTCATCCATTTACACGAATACTTTGAATAAATAGTTAATACCTAGTTCTAGGATTTTATAAGATTTTACATCGCATGACCAACGATTAACAACTACTTTATCATTTTATCATCTAGGTTAGAAATATTTATGTCATATAGTTAAACAATCGTATCGTTATTGTTATTGATAAAACCCATTTTAAAAAAATATTTATGAAAGAATTTTCTAAATGAAGAGAAAAAGGATTTGGGAATATATAGAAATCTTAAAAATCTTATAATTTAGAAATTAATCTCAAAAATCAGTCAAATAAACGCATTCCGTAGAAGGTTACAATGCATTCAGTTGATAATCAAATATTTACAAATCAACAAATTATTGTACAACATCCTTATCAATATTCACTTAAAGTCGGTTTATCTCATTATCCTTCTTGACATGTTTCCAATCAACTTTCTTTAGACGAAATGAAAAAAAAAAAAGACTGAAAGATAACGTACATTAAAAATTATCATTAAATATTTAATACGACAATATAAACGTTAATGTAAATGTCTCTTGCAGTAAATATTATTGTCCGACGTTCATTTTTATTTATTGCTCCGATGTCATTATGTCAATTTAATCTCCACAAAGTCAGCTGACTGATCAAACAACATATCACCCATATCAAACAAAAGTAACATTCGTTATCATACAAAAATATTTACCAAATATTTGGCTTTAACATTAGTACATATATTATAATATATTATTATATATATATATTTAAAAAAAATTTATAAGAAAATTCTAGTTACAATTAACATGCTTAAGAAGTAAGTAAATAATCATAGATCATGAGCATATTAATTTACATTATTGTTGAACGTGCTAAATAAATATATATCATTTATTTTTTATATTTCTATATCGATACGTATTATATACTATATACTGTATATCAATACTACGTATATTGATATTATATCGATATTATATCGATACTGTTATTGGTAGTAAAAGATAAAATCACTTTAAATATTGTAAAAAAAAAAATTGAATTATTTTTTACGCAGTTCTCACGATAATGCATGCGCTTATCTATATATAAAAAAAGAATGTGGAGATAAAAAAATTTTCCCCCTTAAAAAATTTACTAGTTTTATATTTATCGATAAAAAAAAGTTGTACGTATAAGATCTTTTTTATATTGTGAATAATATAAATTAATTGATTTCTGATGGATGTTTAATTTTCAATATCTATCGGATCAAGAATTTCATTATGAATCATGTACCTATCACATATTGCTGATAGACTTTTAACATGCACATAGACTTCAGTTAATCGATTTACACTGTACTTAATCGATCATTTTTATATTGCAGTATTGTACAAAATAATTGAATTTTATATTCAAACGTGTTCAAATACGAGATACTATTAATTTATCGCGTTTATATTGTTATCGATTTAATAATGATAAGGCACATATTTCAAAAACCATGTCCTGATTGTTTCAATTCCAAATTAAACTGTTAAACTGTAAATATTGGACGTAACCTTTAATTCTTTATTTATAATTTCTTTTTTTTTTTTTGTTCCTAAATTATCATTACAAATACAGAATGCTATACTAACTAAATGAGATAAAAGGTTTAACGAAATTAATAAAAAAAAAGGAATGTTGAGTGTTTTAAGACTGTTAATTTTCCATAACGAAACCACCACCTTATCCACCGTACGCGTAAATTCAGTCAAGAATTTTTTTTTTTGTTCTGATTTACAAGTTTCTTGATCATAAATTTGGAGTAACGATATCTCGTAAAAATGGGTGGTTGTCTTGTAGAAAATGATTTTTTTTTCTGTACAAATGTTAAAAAAAAAAAATAATAATGATTACAAAGAAAGTAAATGTTGTATGGGTTCTGACAAACATTCGAATACTTTTTGCAAAAGCTTTGTTTTTTTTCAATTTTGAAAATAACCCCACGCATTGTTCCCACTCATCATCACTGTGCATCACTGCCTATCCTACTTCTGTCGTCCTCAGACCCGGATTATAACATTCCTTTTTTTACGAATCCAAATAAAATAAAAATAAAATATAACTTTAACTTTGAAACTTTGATTTATATAGATACATGGAATTGGTAATAATATATAAGTTGAATGCACAATTGTTCTTTTTGTTTTAATAAAAAATGAATGCGTTAAAATGATGCTATACGAATTTCCCTTTATTCGCCAATTGTGTTAAAAAATTTACAATAAGTAATGCTTCTAGTGAAAACATTATAGGCAAAGTTAAGGTACAAAAAATTCGAAATAACAAAGTATCATTTCCCTTGCATTCAATCACCTAAAAAAATTTGATTTTTTTTTTTGACATTGATCTTTTTGTTGAGAACTTTTTTAAGTCATTACTGGAGGTGATCCACTATAGAAACAATATTGTTTTACAAGTTCACAATAAGAACTTGATCCGATTGCAGGTCTTGCTGAAGGTATAGCGATTGGAGTTGAAGTTCTATTCATTGACTCAATTCCGATTCCCTTAGGTGAATTTTCCCATGGATTCTTATCTTTCTTATCTAATGGTTCTTTTGTTACGGGCATACCATCAATACAGTTACTAGGGAAAAATGATGAAAAGTTCTCATTACAGAAATAAGATTGTTGAATTGTATGATTGGTACTGACAGGTCTGGTCATTATAGGTGTTGGATTAATACTTTGTGCTGCTATTAATGAAAGACCAATGTCATAACGGCCACCCATATATTTCTTTATGGCTACAGATGTCGATGATGAATTTATAGTAGGTGGAGAACGAACAGGAGGTGAATCAGCTTCAAAATTCCTTGCACGATTATTTGTTGAAGTTGACCATTTAGATGATGTAGAAGGTGATGATTTCGAATTTTTGTGCTTATTAGATGATGAAGCAGATTGTGACGATGTAGTTCCTAATCTTTTAAAGTTTACTTGATAATTTGATCCATTATTATTATCCCAATAATCAAGTTCATCAACTTTATAATGAACTGCAAAATACATAGTTTTGCCATCAATCTGATTTCTTGAATTATCAATTAATTCTATCGCAAAGACGAACAGATCAAAACTATTTCTGTTATCTTTATCCGGGACTCCTTCAGCGTAAGTGGCTGATACTTCCGACACGGATTGCCAAAAATCAAACGTGTACCTAACCTCAACGCTTTTTTGAAAGGCTATATTTTGAACTTGAATACGACCTAAAAGTTTTCGTTTATCCGAGGATAAAAAGATCGATTCCACAAATACAGCTTTTAATCTATGAGACGTAGTTATTAATGGCATATTTGGAATCGTTATAATAAGTTCTTCATCTTTATTATTATTATCATCATCATCATTATCACTATCCAAATCTGACATAGAAAAGTCGAAATCATCATCATCATCGGATTCATCGTCTGAAGAAACTTCTGCACTAACAGCTTGTGGTTTTTGAGCTTCTTTGAATAATTTAATTTGTTCTAGGTCGGTATTAAAATGAACATATTTTGGAAAAGTAGGTGTAGTTGGTTCTGATTTACCCTTTTTAAGCGATGATTTTACCAATTCACCACTTTTTTTCCTTAGTAAATGAGGAACTTCTTTTTGTATTTGAGAGGGTAAGTCAACTTTGAGTGACATTCTTCTTGTATATGAGTCAGGTAATGATTTTCTTCTTGGTGACGATGATAATTGTGGGGATGTTGATAATATTTCTTTAACTTGTTGAATAGCTTTATCACGATCTAATTCACAATCCGATTTATCTTTAGTTTCAGATTTCTTTTCGATTGTCATAGTTTTACTTGTCATAGTTTTTATAGTAGTATTTGTGGTCGTATTTGTGGTCGTATTCATGGTAGTACTTGTGGTACTTGTTGAGGTTGTGGAAGTAGATAAACTTGCGAAGGAATGGCTAATAACATTCATGTTTAAATCATCTTGCTTCTTTTTCGCCATCCCAAAGGTCAAGGGCCACCCGCGATAATTTAGATTTGCTGGTGCATTGCCTTTGTTCTGTTTAGTTTGCGAGGAAGTGGGTGGTGCGTAAGGCATATTGGATAAAGATATCGAATATTATCGATTTCTAAAAAGATAGAAAATTAATTTATTAGTGATCCGAATTAGATTATGTTTTTTGTTATCGTAAAAAATAATAATATATATATACGTTGAATATATATATAAAGGGTATAAAAAGGATGGTTTGAATTATAGTTTATGTGTGTGGAATATGTATAGATAAATATGAATGAAAAAACGCGCTTTTGAAAAAAAATCCGTATTGGGATTTCTAAGCGATAGAAAAAAAATGAATATATTATAAATATATATAAATATATATATATTTTACGTTTGCAAAAAAATAATGTATATGTGAATACCAACTTTTAATGAGATTCACTATATATATAAGAATAATTTTTTATTATCAATATGATGAAAAAGTGAAAAAAAAGGATTCTTTTTTATAATTTCCGTTTTTTTTTTTTGAAAAAAAGTCGTCAAATAATAACGGCAAAAAAAAAAAAAATAATGGTGGAAATACTAGTACTAGAGAATACTAAAAAAATGTTTTTTATGGTTCTAAAGAGCTTCTTATATAGAAAAAGAAGAAGGAATACGAATATTACCTTGGAGAAATAGTTTTAGTAACTGAAGGGCCGAGAAAAAAAAAAAAGAAAAAAAACGTATAAAATTTTGGAGGTTTTTATAAAGTTTGAAGTTTGATTAATTGATATAGTTGATAAAAAAACATATATTGAAAATAATATAAATAAATAATTTATACACTTTTAATTGTACACACTTTATTGTGTATCTTTGTATCTTTTACAATTTATTTACTATATAATTATATTATGTACACAAAAAAAAATTTTTTTTTATATTAATGCAAATAAAAGCTATCATCATTAGAAAATAGCTCTTCCTGAAATGGAAAAACTTTTTGGATTATCGATTTCGATTTATATATACACATTCAAAATTTTAAAATTGTTAATAATCACATACATCATTGATATCATCAGCTAATTCACTGGGCTAAATTCACTGGGATTAAAAATCAAAAAGGCATACGAGTTTTTTTTTTTTTTTTTTTATTGATTCATTGATACAATACAAAAAGATACAGTGATGATAAGGATTTTATGTTTCGCTTTCTTAAGCCATTGAAACTTGCTTTGTACGTAAGGTGGATTACAAAAACTTTCAATCTTTTTTTGATAAAAAAAGATATGAAAATCATTTGAAAAAGACCAATTTGTATTTATATGGTCCTAATAAATAATATATATATATATATATATATATATATATATGATATATATATATATGATATATATAATATATCGATAACAATTATCTATCACGTGATAATGGTTAAAAGTTTCAAAAAAAAAAACTTGATAGCAATAGTGATAGCAATAGTGATAGCGATATCGATCGATTTCAACTTTTTTTGTATTATTCGATTCGATCCATTGCTATTGTTTGACGAAAGAAAATTCATTCCCCACAAGTAAGCTATTCTTTGGTAATGTGTATATCCTTTCAAATTTAAATTTACGCTACGTATCATCATTGACATGACAACAGACCGATCTTTACTGTGCTACCGCGGTAATTAGATTACTAATTGTTTTGTTGTGTATATATTTTATTTATTATATATTATAATGATACAGTTTCATTCCAACTTTATATTTGCGTAAATTTTCCTTATCGTGCAAGTCTTATCTGTTTAACTTTGAACCAGGTGCTGCGCTTCCGGTCCGATCAAGCTTTTTTTAAACAAGTTATTATTCCGCAGATTTCATATTATAACTTTTGTGATACTTTTCCTTGCTTCCTAAGGAGACCATATTACATGGTAATCCGGATCTCCCGGAATCAAATTTCCCGAAAGATTTACATACTATTTTCATAAATTTTGGGTCAAATGAAACATTTTAAACATTAACACGTTTTCCGAATCTCCTAGGTTTTGAAATCAAGTTTGGTGATTTTCTAGGAACAAGATAAAAGAAAATTTTAAGAATATAACGTTTTGATTACTCTTTTCGTTAATGTAAATAAATAAAAACGGCCTACAATGAGATATTATTCACCTAGATCTGGAAATACATGCTTGACCTTATCGATGGATCATACCTATTACAAACATTGTTTACCATAACTTTAAAAATAAGACATGGCTAATTACTCGGCAGTTTTCTTAGAATCATACCACATTTTCTCAGACCTAAATTTTCAGGCTACAACTAGATTTATTACAGTATTATGTATATTATGTATATTATGTATATTATGTATATTATGTATATTATGTATGTACAAGATAAAAAACTTACGAAATCACGCCACGTTAATTCGGTTATTAATAAATAATTCATATCACGCCACATCCGATTTTCTGACAGAAATCATTACCATAACAAACCTTTAAGTAAAATTGCGTACATAATTACTATGTTTAGTTTTATGGTCTGATATACACGATAACGATAGTGTAAAATAATGTAAAAAAAATAAAAGATTTTAATTATTATCTACCAACTCTTTCCGAGTTTCTCTTGTTTGAGCTTTAAAAAAAAAGCATTTAGAGAAAAGTAATATTTGAAAGGTAAAAAAAAAAAAAAACTCTGGATACCATGAGAGTAAATTCTTGAAAGTTTTAATATTTGGGGGTTTCTTTTGGCTTCATTATATACATTGAAAGTATACTTAGAAGTGGGTGGTATCTTACATTTAGAATTATATCAAGGATCATACATAAGAAATGTACATTTGGAGAGTTCTTTTATGAGCAAACATTTAAATTTAAAAATCATAAAAGAAAAAAAAAGTTAATAATAATAGTTAATCAAGATAGTTAACAAGGTGTATATGGTAAATAATAAAAATAGTTAATTCTTTTTTTTTTGTTTTTTAATTACCACTTAGAATTTATCATGATATTATTCGTAGGATTCTTTAGTGCTTAGGGAAAGTAATCTATCTAGTGTAACATTATAAATCTAACGATCATATTTAAATTACAGCCTTTTGAAACCCATTGTTTTTTGATGAAAAATGGCCGAAACTTTTTGGCATTGATTTTCAGGCGGGAACCTTTTGTTTGACGAAAAAAGTACAACATTCGATATTATCGTATGCATAAATCAAATTTTATGTTGTACATCTTATAAACTGACTTGATAAAATTGATAAATTAGGAAATATATATGCACATTGAATGGGTGAGTAAATTTTTAATCTTAATTCGTATTATCTTTTATATCAATATTTCATAAAAGTTTTTTTTTTTTTTGTTTCTTTAAAAAAACTTTATTGATGCTTACCCCCTTTATTTATTAAAGAACAAATTAACTTAATAGGATGGAGATATAGTGTAGCCAAACAAATCAAATAGGAACGTGATAATGTTGAGCAAAGGCTTTTGTCAAATTTTTAACAGTTTTCCTTGCTTGATTTTACGGGGTTAGTGTATCAACTTATGCATTTACATATAATTTATATATAATTTACATATAATTTACATGTAATTTACATATAATTTACATATATAATTTACATATAATTGATTAACTATGTATACAATTTTTTCTCTTTATAGTTAATTGATTGAACCCTATTACAGTATTATTGCAATTTTACTCTATAATTGATTGATTGGTTAATTAAAATTCCATTATTACATCTACGTTATTGAGAAAATCTATATAGGCTAGTTTTAATGTTAAGCTTAACTTTAATCCGTACGTATATCATGAGAGTCATTATCTGTTATGTCGATTATTATAACGTACAACTTGTTAATATTCAAACTATTTATATGTAAAATGTACAAACTATTCCAATGAGACTTCTCAATATACTTAACCCTCTTAAAATAAAGCAAGGGCAGCGGTTAAAAAATTGACGGATCTCTTTCATAATATTTATATAATTGGGGATATTCAATTTTATTTTATGGATTTTTATGCAACCTAATTATAATAGACGAAATATATGTTTATGCAGAAAAAAAATGAAAAACATGTTTCAATCAAGAACACTAAGGAAATGCAAAAACGTATCACATATCTTTGTGATACTGTTTTTAATTTAAATCTTTTCCAGTTAATTCTCAAATAGGAATATCTTCATATGAAAATAGTGCGTATCTTTATTATTAATATAATTAATGTTAAAATTAATTTATCTTATTGGTTTATTTTCCAGTCGTATTGGCTAATTTGACAATAATAACACTTTATTTGTTATTTATACGTACGTAGTTGTGAAGTTTCATTCTTATCGATATTTTGAGATAAAAAGATTTAGAGCTAATGTGGCGTCACTATAGATAACGGATAACGGATGCCACATATTATATAAGATATTTCGATAAGAATGAATATTAGGAATTTCTTGTATTGGTTAGTCTTTCTCCGTACTCACAATTATATGTTTCATCCAATATTTGCTATCTTTGTTTTACATCATATTTTTGTCAAAAAAAAAAAAAACTAATCGGCAAATATCCCATATTTCTAAAAATTTTTAGATTAATTGATTGGATAAATTCAGCATAATTGTTGATTTAAAAATATTCTGTACGTACGTACGTACGTACGTACAAGAAAAAACAAAAATAAGGTGAATTATATAACTTTATATACTATATAATTAATCTTCTGTTCGCCTTTAATATATAATCAAAAAGACTAAATAATAAATACGTATTATCGATATATATTGGACAACTATCAAATCAACAATCAATAAATATATATATAGCCAATTATACCAGCCCCCCAAACGTTTTCACAAGCTAAGAAATTTTAACTGTGATAGGCAAGTTTATAAAAGTTTATCATTTAATTTTTTTCACATAAATAATCTATTGTTCTTTATGCATTTTTCTTATTATTATAAACAGTTTAGTGTATCTGCATATCTTTGCATATTTCTCCGCATTCATGCAGCTTACATTTCAGACCAAACAAAATGAAATGCTCGTGGCTTGTGATTGCCAGTTTTTTTTTTCTTTTTTTTTTTAATGAAAA